AGGTTTTTGGCAAAACTCTACAACCAAAACTTTCTAGATAACAAGCTGGGCCAGACCAAAGGGAAACACTCTAGTGTTGGTAGATTAAAATAACTGAAGTATCAAAGTCAACTAAGAAACAATGACCATTGGAGAAAGGCGAGGAGAGACGGCTGAATATACAACATGGCATAATTTAAGCCTGCAAACAAAAGAGCGATACAAATGAGGGAAAAAAGAAGTCCATCGAGGCGAGAGTGCTGGCAGAAGGATTAGCATGCACGTCTCCAGGGAGAACCATTGCTTTGCTCAGACATGGATCCAGAAATACGAGAAAAAAATCACAGCCAACCGGCAATTATGCCAACAGGACCTCAGGCGAAAATGTGTGCCTTGGTAAATCGTTGTGCCAATTGGTTGTAATAGTACAGGCTGCCATTACTTGTTCTGCTTCATATAAATTAAAGCTTTCCTCCATTTGCCCTTTTACACTTGTACACACATGCCGTGGCATGTGCACAGGGGTCAGGAGTCATCTCTCTCTTCCCGCTGTGGCTTCCGGAGAATGAACTCAAGTCCTCAGACTTGTGTGGCAAGTGCTTTTGTGCACTGAGCCCTAAGACTTTTTAAAAAAATCTTTAGTGTGTGTTGATGATGATCGATTTCCCTTTCACACTTGCATTGTGACATCAGCATTTGAAAAAAGGAGAGCTAATCTAGACGGAGGTGAAATAACGATCTTTGTTGCGCCATACTTCACAATAATCAGACAGGGAGCATTTCTGTTCAAATGTTATCATTGTACAGACCTGCTACTATTATCTATTGCATTGGAGATACTGGGGGATTTCAGTTTTACTACCAATGATACATTTTCACATATACAAAACTTGAATTATTCAAAGATGTTGCAAATGCCTTCTGAAATATGCACTGAAAAGCAAGGGCTATAAAAATGTCTACTTAAAATCCCCCACTCTTGTGAATACTGTAGCTCAATTTAGTTGGTCTTTTTGATGGAAAAATGCTTCTTTTCCAAGTTGTTGCTTGGGCATTTCTACTAATATATATTAGCACAGGAAATAAAAACAAACTCGAAGTGGGGTGTGGCTATAAATCTTCAAACCCCATGCCCCAATGATACAAGCAAGGATAATTATATATATATATATATATATATATATATATATTGTCATGTCATGACATAACAGACCCATCCTTTGACAATGTCCATGATTGTCTGTATTGCAGAGGGTAGAACCAACTTACCCATAAGGCCTCTGCTTCACTTAATCTTTAAACAATCCTATTTTTGGAATGTTAGTCAGAATTAAGTGATTCATTAATTCTACCATCAAAAAAACAAACAAATTAATTGTTAGAGTGAATGCAGTTTGTGACTCTTGTTCATTTACATATAAGAAGGTTTTAATAAAATTAAGTCTACTACTCTTCAGCCCTGGATTCCTCTTTTAAAATCACGGAATGCCATATGGAAAAGGCAACCACCAATGTATTTTCCTCCAATTATATCCTAACATTTTTCTTCTTTTAGCAGTCAATATTTAGTCAGTACTGGTATATTATATTAAAATTTACATTGTTCAAAACTTTAATCGGTTATTGTTGTTACAGCCATTGAATAGTCAGAGTTTACCAACATGAAATGTCTCCATTACATGTTATTTTTATATGTTGTGTTCTTTGTGGGAATTTCAAATTAATTTAGTTCCTGCTACATTAGTTATTTTTATATGTTGCTGTGATAAAATACCATGACCAAAGCAGCTTTACAAAAAAAAAAAAAAAAAAAGGTTTATAGGTTTATTTGGGCTTACAGTTCCACAAGGAGAGGGTCCACGTTGATAGAAGAGCATGACAACTGGCAGATATAGCAGTCAGCAGGAGCAGGAAACTGACTGGTCACATCTCAGCCGCGCACAGGAAGTAAAGAACAAACTCGAAGAGGGGTGTGGCTATACATCCTCTCAAAGCCCATTCCCCAATGATACAAGCGGGGATGAACCTCTTGGAGATGCCATAACCTCCCCCCAAGGAGCACTATCATGTAGAGAGCAAGAGTTCCAGTACAGGAGCCTACGGGGGACATTTCTCATTCAAACCACCACTGGACCTTTCAGTTTCTACTTTAGTGAAAGCAAGTAGCTCACCATCTTAAGTATAACTTTTTAACATGTTCTATTACTGAGAAATGACACGCTCTTAAATTATCCCTTCTTTTTCCAAAATTTTGCTTTTCCCCAGGCCATTCATTCTTCCATTTTAAAGGCAAACTTAACTCCAAATTTAAGTTATAAATTCAGTTATATTAAGTTCACAAGTTAATATGGAGAAGGTAGCACTTACACATTTATTATTCTTATCCAGGAATGCAACATAAACATTGTTCTCTGATCATCTTCTTTTGTGTTTCTCATTCTATTGTTACTATCTTCATTTAATTCTTACATATTTCCTATACAGCTATCCATAGGTATTCATGACTATCATAAATGAGATTTTATCAGATTATCTACTTGTGAAAAAAATAAACTGATTTATACAGTATCTTTTTTATTCCTAGTTAACTGTATCCTTTTATTTCAATACTCTTTATTTTGTCATCTTTTCCTTAATAATTATAACTTTTAAAAATTACAACTATTAAAGACAACAATGTACAGTAGTTAAGACTAAAGACACAGATGCCAAACCACCTGCATGCTAATTCACTTTCGCTACGTACGGTCTGTGTGGACTTGGCCAAGTTATTTCCTTTCTATGCTCCTCAGTTTCCAAGTTTGTAAAATAAAAACGACAGTTACTAGTACCTCATAGAAGTCAAAAAATTTAAAAATTATTGTAAGGAATTTAAAATAGTTCCTAACACAGATAGTTATTATAATTATTTCTCTTTCTATTTTATCCATTAAAATGTCTAAAGTGAAGTGAGATGCAGTTTGGGTGATCAAACATACCACACAGCTAGCCCTTGGAGTTTTGGGGAAGGTTTTCATATATTTTAATTAACTTTTGTTATCCTAACTTACCTAGTGGTATACATGTGTATTTTCTTAAACATTTGGAGTCTGCTAGAGAGTCAAAAGTGTAGGCATTATTCTTTGGTATATGACTATAAAATATTTCAATAAAATTCCAACTCTGACCACCATCACATTCCAACTACACATATACACATTGTATTGTTCTGTTGTTGATTTATATTTTCTTTAACTAATATTTGAAGTTTTCTTTTTTTGCTCTCCTTTTAATTTCTTTTTGAGAGGGTCATGGAATTTAGTGTTTTGTTTCAAAGTGAATCTGTAAAATGTGTTATTTCCATCACAGAATTCACTGAGCAGAGAGATAATGTTCCTTCAGAGTGTGTATTTCAACAACAGAGACTAAATGTCTGACGACGGTGAGACACTGCATTCCTTTAAAGTCAGTACTTTCCTACGGCTTTCCATGCTGGTCAAGGACATAGGTTTAACAGCAGATGGAATTAGACTCCTATCCAACTTCACCACCCACTGACTAAATCTGTGCAGTTGGCCAGCCAACCAGCTTTCATCACAGAAGGGAACAAACCCTTCACCTCTTCCCAGTGCTGTCATGAGAATTCAGCCCACCACACTGACCCAGAAATTGTTCTATGTACCAATTTTAATTGTCCTCAAGTGCGAAGCAAGTATTTATAACCTTGCTCACTACTTTCCCCCAGTATAAAGAGTAGAATGGCTCCTGTAGAAATCTTCTTCCCAAAATTATTTTATTAAATAAAATCATTTCTTTCTAGAAGGTAAGTTTGAATGAAGATGCTATTCTTCATTGACAAGCTTAAAAGTTAGCATTAAAATAAAAATGTACCAATAAGACATAGAAGCCATTGCCAGTGTCTAAATCTTAGCGGGTGAAAAGGAAGTGTACACTCATCTCCGGAAACCCAGGCAAAGGGCCGGAGCTCCACACAGTATCTTCTGCTTGTTCCTCCTCCTACTCTTCTGTTCTCTTGGGACTTGGAGGCTGGCAGAACATTGGAGACTTTTCCTAGGTTGAAGCCTCTGCCATGTTCTCCTCACCCTTTATCTCAACTGTGATGGAGGAGCAAATTACTCCATCCAGATGGCACAACACAGAAGTCAGGGTGAGAGAGGCCCCAAGGTAGATTCTACCATTGTAAAATACCATTAAGATTGCTACATGGGGCAGTGGCACACGCCTTTAATCCCAGCACTCAGGAAGCAGTCAGTGGCAAGTGGATCTCTGTGAGTTCAAGGCCTGGATAGAGCTCCAGGACAACCTGTTACACGGAGATTGCAATATGAAGGTGGCCTCAGTTTTCAACATACATGCCAAGTACCTGTCTTAAATGTGTATGCATATATCTCTATATAGAGAAACATACACATAAATGGTTTAAAGATACTATTTTACTATTCCTCAAATGCAGTAGTTTGTGTTCTGTGTTCACCAGTCAGCACCATCAAGAGTGACTCCTTGAAAACAGTTACATAATCCTAACAATTTGGGAGGGTGAAACCTGGGCTAAATGTTCAACACCAGCCAGGCTACATACCCTCTCAACAAACAAAAGAATTCATATGCGTTGTTTGCTGTGCTACTCAGAAAAATATTTCCAAGAGTAATAACTAATATAACAAATTTCTTTGCACAGTTAAAGACTTGAATTTAAAAAAAAAAAAAATTAATGGACCATTGGCCTTCACTGAGAGCAATTTAAAGAGGCATGGCTAAGAATAATAGAAATATCAAAACATGCTCTTTCTTTGTTATCCTCAGGTCCCCAGGAGACACCAGATGGAAATGTGTATCTCACCTATTCAGAGTGTATTCTTTGCTATTAATATCTCACTAGAAATAAGTGACTGGACAATATTGAGTCACTTTCTAAGCGGAAGCCATTTCGCCCTACCCTTTCTTCACTGTCCTCCAGCTTTATAACAATAAAGACATGCTCTGCAACATCAATGCAAGGATCAACCGGACAGAAAGTTTACCTGCCTGTATCCGTCCTGCCTGGATGTGTTCTCCGTGACTTTATGGTTTCTTTCCTCCCCAGACTTATCTTGCGTGGTTTTCAGTATATCATGACCCCTGAAGGAAACAAAAACAGGAGGGAAATTTGTCTCTAGTTCCTTGTCCATTGCAGAAATGAACAAGGGGTTTCTTGAGCAAAAGCATATCATTTAAAATGACCAAATATCTCATCATTTTTCTGTCTCTCTGAGACGCTGACACATTTCTTGAACAAGCAGCCATCTGCCTTCTCGTGCATGTAAATGATAATAATTGATATGAATTTATTGTACATCAATTGTCTTCTGAGCAACCTTTCTTGTGTTTTGCTCACAAAGAATAGTTTACTAAATAGGTAAAAAAAACCATGTTTTTCTTCAGATTTTCAAAGTCCATTCCAAATCGATTCTCTAGATGAGTGGGAGCCTTTCTCAACCATGTGATTGAAAAGACCATGGATCCCTGAAACAGTTGTCTTTGAATCCCAACAGCAAGGAGGAAGGCCATTGTTGTCCTCAATCACCTCACACAATATTGGAATTCTTGAGGGGAAAATCCAATAAAATCCAGCCTACACATAATACCTCAAGGTCTACAGTTAACCTGGAGATTTTCTGAGAGCTGGCAGCTGACCTACTTGCACAATTTTTGTGTTCTTTTAGTTTTTCTACAAAAAAACACCTCCATTTTAAAGCTAATAATACACAAGACAACCCGGTTATCTTCATTTCCATATGTATTTAGTAGTCGAGCCTACAATGGACCTCTGGGTAAATCGGGCCCCCTTCACTCGAGCAGTCGACGCTTTTGAACAGACACAGTATAAACCCTTCTTGGCCCAAATGAAAATGCAATGTTTTGTTTGGGTGGTATTTCATAGAGATCACCTGATCACCATTCTCCTAAGCCTAGGGCTGGTCTTGTCGATGCTCCTCCACTTGCCTGTGCTGTCCAGTTTTAGCAGAGTTACCACAGAGGGAGAGAACCTAGTTCTACTGTGTCTTTAGACCAGTCCTGGCTACACTTGCCGAATCTCAGTGCTTCCGGCCTCACGTTCCGCTGGTCACTCTTCCAACTACATTCATTCTGTACTTACCAAAGTCTTGTCTCTCCTCCACACACATGACCTCACCTCCACCTCATCCTTCCCCCAGAGCCTCTTACAGCACTGACCAATCCCTCTGCTTCAAGACTCTCCTCCCCTGCCTGGTCCTCCACAGACCCTCATGTTAATAAAGCAATCAGACTTTCATTCGCCATGTGTGAATTACACGTGGTCATCTTTCACTATGACTCTCAGACATGACATCTTTTCTCACAATGTAAACAATGTGTTTACGGTCACTCTTTTAAGTTTGTTTTAAGCAATTTAATGATTCTTTCTCCGTTGCCGTTTCATTTCCTGGAGCTTACAGGCGGGCATGAAGGGGACCACAAGGGCACTGGCCTGCAGAGACAGGAGGACTGACCTACGTTCTCGCTCTCAATCATCCATTGACCGGGTATTGACTTGAGGCCTCAACCCCTTTGCTTCACGTAAAGTGGCAGAGCCTTGATGACCCCACTTGTCTCTCTAGATTACTCGGAGACTCAAGGATGGCCCCATAGGATGGGACAGCAAATGTGCAGTGGTTACTCCCCCACAAGAACAAGAAACAGGAGAAGCAAACATGTGCCTCTTCTATTAGAACTTGCCCAGGCCCCTGGGAAGGAGTCTTTTACACCTCTACATCTTGCTGCTTCCTTTTATGGATGGGACATTCTAAAGAGCTCGTGTATTCTCCCCTGTTTGGATTTCAAAAAGACCCTTCTACAAAAACGTGGGTCACATAGACAGAGAGGAGAATAGGAGTTACAAGAGGATGGATGGGGACAATGGGAGGGGAGATGAGCAGATGTTGCAGAACCGGTACGAAGTCAGAACAGATCCTGATGTTCTACTACACAATAGGGTGACCATAGTTAACAATATGTATCCCATAATTTTTAGAAAGATTATTAATGTTCTTACCACAAATAACAAATGTTTAAGATAATATACATGCTAATTACCCAAATTTATAGCATTCCATGTATCAAAACATCACACTGCATGTTAAGAATGTATTTTTGATTGTGTCATCAAAAATAAAATAAAAAGAAGCAAGACTCAAAAGAACAATAAGTCTTATTTACTGAACTTTAATTAAAGTAAAAGTATCATTTAGGAGACAAGTGTCAACCATTTTTAAATACATTGATAGTAACACAAGAAATTAATAAATGCTTTTAATACAGGAATAGCTGGACAGATGGGCTTGGCCATTAAGAGATCTTGCTGTTCTCACAAAGGACTGGAATTCAGTTCCCATCACCCCAGTTCCTCCCATCACAAATGTCTGCAAATCCAGTTCCGGGGATTTGGTGTAGCTTTATGGCTTCTGTAGGGACCTGCATATGTATGTACACACACACACACACACACACACACACACACACACACACACACACAATTATTCTTGAAAAATATATTCTTCATCTCAATCATTGAACTTTAGGTTAACTGAAGTTGTGTATCTAGCAGGACTTTTGTTAAACTTCCAAATAAAATTTTGGTATCAACTCACTACATTTCTGTGTTCAGTATAAAGGCCTAAGCTGAAAGAAATTTTTGGTTTGGACTAAAAGCTCACAAGAAATGTCACTAATCCACTTTTCCCTGACCTCTAATACATGGCTTTGCATGAACATTCCATCCTGCTGAGTTCAAGTTAAATTTTCTAGCGTGTCTGGATGACACTGGATGAAATAAATGCTCTTAATTGTCTTGTCCTCACATTTCTATAGCTTTATGTAATTAATCATTAAATGAGACATTGAGAATCACAATCCAAATGATGAAAAATAAATATATTTGTGTGATAACTGATTTTTGTCAGACTAATAGGTGAAAATTGTTACTTTGTTGTAGAATAATACACATAAAATTACCGTTTCAATCACCTTAATCAAACAGTTAGGTAATGTGTCTATTCATATAGCTGTGCAAATGTTATTTTTCAAAACAAAAACTATGCCCATTAAGCAATAATGTCCACTCATCTCTCATGGCAGCTCTAATAATCACCATTCACTTTTCTGCTTTCGACTACATATTTCTTACAAACCTGTTATTTTGTGACTGCCTAGTTATCTTAGCATGTGATCCCCTATGTTTACTCAGGTGGTAGCACAAGTCAAAATTCCTTCCTTTTTAAAGGCTGGATGATACCACAATCTACGCACCTTGTTTTATGTATATATTAGTGGACATGAGTTGCTTCTGCATTTTGTGTCATGAACCATGCTGAACACTTTTTTCTATTTAATAATCACAACATACCATAATTAATGATTTTCAAACCTTGGTATGATACATCTATCCCCGACATCCTAAATAAATCCTAGAGCCAGGGTTAAAGCTTAGCTCTCTCCAGCTCTAATATTAGATACCATGAGCCCTTATAATATTCTTGAGCTTTTGATTCTTCTGTTGTATACCTTTTACACCTATATGATATTTCTTTTGAGAATAAATAATTATTACCTTTATACTTTTCAATAAAGTGACTCCAACACGATCTAAAATCTTATTCATTTCCCCTAATTATTTTCTAACCACTTGGACCAAAGAAAATATACTCCCTGATTTAATGTAAAAGACAATTTAAAAAACAAACACACAGCTAGATGCCTGCTGAACTCATTCTCCAACACAGAGCGCTTTGATGGATACAAACAAACTTGATCAAAAGGGGTTCATAGTGAGGAGACTAGAGTCAAATCATAAACCAAGAAAAAGTGATATTGTGGCCTTTGCTTTATTGCACATTTAAAAAGTGAATTCAATGTAAATACTGACTTGGCTTCCCTCATAAAATAATAACAGCACCTATGACATATCACAGTGGTTAAGAGTATGTGTTTTGATGACCGCTTTCTTTAAATCTTAAATCTGTACTATCTTTGGCCAAGTTACTAAGTTTTCTTAGCTATCCTGAGTCACCTTGTATAACATAGCCTTCAGAGTCAAGTATTTTGCATATAGTTGTTAAAACCAGCCTAGTGGTCCACCAAGAGATGAATGTATAAAGAAAATGTGATACTTATACATAATAGATTATATGTCTAGTCATAAAGAAAAATGAAATTTTTGCAAGAAAATAGATGGAATTAGAAAGAAGAGGTACTCAAAATTCCAAATATCACGTTTTCTCCAATATTCAAATGTGTGTGTGTGTGTGTTATGAAAGTAAAAAGGAGACCATGAGAGGGAAGTACAACATCTTAAGTTAGTTAGGAAGGGATGAAAGACAGGATAAGAGAATTCATGTGATGTGGAAGCAGAGGGGGGCATTTGGAAGAGGATGCAAACCTTTAAGAGGGAATAGAAGACTGAGAGCATTGGGGAAGGAAATGAATTAAAGCAAAGTGTAATTATATGTGGGTGTGTGCTTATGTATATCACATGTATGCTTCATAACATATACACACATATATCTGTATGAAAATGCTGCAAAATAGCCTTTGCTTTGTATTACTACCTAAAAATTAATTTAAAAAATACCTTTTAAAAGTTCAGTCTATCACTTTAATTCACATAAACAGTTTCTAGCAATGACATATTCTATATGTTTCATATTATCAACACTCGTGTAAGAAAAATCACAGTCCCTGCCAATTGTAAATGTACATAGGATAGAAGCATGTCAAGCACCTAATGATCTTACACACACTATTGTAAATGAATGTGTGTTAAACATATCTCTATATGAAAGGTTTAGGAAGAATTTTTTAGTTCTTACATATTTACAAGACAATAAAAGAGTTCAGAGAGCGCAGACTCTATTTGTGACAGAGGCTGGAATGTCCCACACTATCCATAGCAAAGCATCCTGGTCCATAGGACATTTGCTTAAATCTTTAGTCAAGTGTTTGCTCAACAGAGAAACATTAACTTCAAATGTTAGAATTTAGCCCTCTTCAGAGAGCTGATAGATTTCATTTTTAAAAAACTCTTGAAGAGTAATGAATGTACTATATAAATATTAAAAATAAAA